TATGATACGAAACGCTTGTCCTAGTTAGGTGTCCCTAGAAGCATGCTGCAACATGTTTTCCATAAGCCTCGTAGACTCTTTGTGTTTGAAAATGAAAATTTTCACACAGAATTTTCTTTCTAATTAGGATGTATTTGAAATAGTCGAAGATCTACCTTTCTCTTCTCATGTGGAGTAAAGATATTTTTGTTAAGTCAGCTTTTCGCAGAGGTACAATGAGTCTTTGTATCCAATATTTTTCCCCAAAAATTTCTAGCACGATCACTAACAATGATATATGCCCAAGACATTTCTTATCGAAGCCAACCAGAATATAGGTATGTCACAAGTCTATGTTAATGATCCTAAACCATTTTTCTGTGATGAAGGTGAAACCCAACAAATCTCAACTTAATGAATTGACGGTGAACATTTTATGTTCAATATTATCACAAAACATCTGTTTCAATGTATCACTTTTGATGTTCAAAATCTAAATTTAATTTCCATTGTGTGATCTTAATGAAATATACTCATCCCAAGTTGTTTCTACCCAATAGATCCCATTTTTAATCTTTTATGAAATGAGATTTCCGTTTGAACATCTTTCTCTAACTTTCGTTACATCAAATTTTACAAAGCTTACTTGTTCTTGACTACATTGTTTGTCCAAGTATTTTTGAACAACTTTTTACACTTATGTCAAGTTGTAAATTTGTGTGAAAATGAAACCACCCTTGAACCTTATGCAAAAGAGTCCCTTTGATACTCCTCAATGAGTTTTCGATTGTAATTCATGGGAAACCACACAAGCAGTTCGTCATCTCTCTCGATGTCGAATGAAGCATATCTTTTCCTGGGATATATTACCTTTTATATCAAAGATTCTTTGATATCACAATTCTATTTTTTTTATTTTGATTATTTCTTTTTCTTTGGCACACTTATGCACTGAAATCCTTGAGGTTTTGAGTATTACCAACTCGAAACTTAGATTCTGCAAAGTCTGGCAAATGATTTCTCTTATCCTTCCCATAAGTGAATGAGCCTAGCCTCCATAATGAAGGATGGTTCTATAGTTGTATCGAAAGACATGACGGTTCATTTTCAATTGGGAGATGCGAAATATCTGTTAGATGGGATGTTTCAAGATCTTCACGAGGCTCGAGGCAAAAAGTCATCATCACTTTTATAAGTGATAGTTTTTTTGGTGATGGTTAAGTAACCAATATTCCACGTGGCATTATATCACTGGGAAACGGTTTGAAATTGAATTTCATGCCAATTATTTAAGGGAACTGGCCATTCCAATTCTAACTTTATGCTCCCAGAATTCACTCAATAACCCTAATGGTTCATCTCAAATTCTCTCACAAAAATTCTCTTAATCTACTCAAATGGTTGCTGAGCAAAACATCGTTGATCAATTCAGTACCAATGACGAAGAGGTTTCCCATCTAATGATGAAGATTCATGTAGCACCTGGTTCCTGGTATGTAAATCTTATTTGGGTATTTTCCATTTTTAGTCTTGGACTTGGCGAGTCATAGATCCGACTCGCTGAGTAGGGACAGGACCCGTGACACGTTTAAGTTGGCGACTCGGCGAGTCCATATCCTGGACTCGGCGAGTCACCGCTGTTGGATGAAACCCTAAATTTCAAGGGTTTGCACCCTATTTAAACCTTCATTTCCGCCCCAAGATCGCCCCCATCCACCCTCAGAGCCCCCAACATCATTTATACCCTTATTCCTTGTGAGATTAAAGTGTTTTGGTGTGTTCTTGAAGATTTTGAGGAGAAAGAAGAGTAGATCAAGAAGAGGAGAAGGAGGCCATGCATCTTTGTGTCATCTTAACGTTTTCCTTGAGGTATAGCTCGTTTCCTCTCTGTTTTCAAGCTTGTAGTCTCTTTTAGCTTCATGAAAGTCCTTCTTGAGCCATTCCCCAAGCTTGTTTGTGCATTGTCGGTTGTAATAAGTTGTTAGCCTCTAGATCTAGGCATGATTTAGTCCCTAGAGCTTGGATCTAATGCCTTTATGGGGTCATATTGCATGAAAGCCCTAGATCTACCCCTTTTGGTGCACTTTGAGCCCTAAAACCTTCATTGGTGATTATCTACACGTAAAGTTGGAAACTTTACGTGTAATCCATGCCCTAGAAACCCAGATCTGTAAATGACATGGACTGGAATTGAGCAAATCTGTGTATTTTGTAGGTGCATGGCAACGACTCGGCGAGTCGTTCATGTGACTCGGCGAGTCTGCTCGCGAGTCTCTGAATCTGTCCCCTTTTCGTGGTGTCGAGTGTGCAGTGAGTCACGGGGTGTGACTCAGTGAGTTGGAAGCTAAACTCATATATGGAGGAACTCGGCGAGTCGATTCCCTGACTCGGGAAGTTCAAGGCAATCTCCTTAGATCAAGAACAGACTCGACGAGTTGTTCAGACAACTCGGCGAGTCTCCGCATAAGTGTTCATCCGAGGAGGATGAACTCGACGAGTTGTTCATACAACTCGGCGAGTAGGATGAAGGACTTGAATGTCAGCTTAGAAGAAGAACTCGTCGAGTCATAGCCTAATTCGACGAGTAGAAACAGGGACAATCGTCTGGATAGGAACTCGGCGAGTTGGAGAGCCAACTCGGCGAGTCGGGTAAACTGAACGTTGACCCTGACCTTGACTTAGGGCTTAACCAAGGGTAAAATGGTCATTTTACCCAAAGGACAGTTAGTAGTGTTTGATTGAGTATGTTGTGGGAATTGCAGCCGGAGGATTTCCGAAGCAGCAACAGCAACAGTCAGTCAGTTCCCGATCAGTTCAGCAGCTACTTTGAGGTGAGTTACCTTCCAGTAGTGGTGGGTCTAAGGCCACAATGCCGGCCCACCAGTAGGAGACGTATGATAGATGATTGTCTTTGTGATATCATCTAGGCTTGCTACTACCTGGTATGTTATATGCTAGCATGATACGTTATATGTGATAGTAGTAGAGTTCGGTTGTTAGGACCGAAGGGTAGTCGGTCACCCCAGAAATGTCTGACAGTATGTGATGATATGTTTGTATGTTGGCCTGTTATGTTATGCGATAGAGGTAGTAGGAGGGGACCAGTCCCCGAGGATCGGTTGTTAGGACCGATGGGTAGTCAGCACCCCAGAATGGATTGACATGGGTAGTCAGCACCCCAAAATGGCTTGACACGGGTAGGACGGCACCCCAGAATGGCCGTATGGGTAGGTCGGCACCCCAGAATGGTCGTACCGGGTAGTCAGGCACCCCAGAATAGCCTGGTATGTGTTTGTATGGTATGTGGTACGATGGGGAACTCACTAAGCTTTGTGCTTACGTTTTACAGTTTTGGTTTCAGGTACCTCTTCTTCAAAGGGGAAGGAGCTGGCACGGTAGCGGCACATCATGCACACACTCTGGTTTCCGCATTTACGAGATTCACTGGGATTTGTACTCTGATATTTTGATGGGTTGTATGGTTTGGCTTTTAGACATAGTTTACGTTGTGTTATGGTTTGATCAAACAATGTTTTTAATTGTTAATGTTTTCTAAAGTAATGTTTTCAAAACGAAATTTTCGGACGTGAAATTTGGGTCGTTACAATTCAACACACTAATCTTTGGCTTAATCTCTTAATTGATGTTTATCCCGAAGAACTAGAATTGCTAGTATTGGTTTTGAACAAATCTGTTCTTAATTGTGCTTTATCATCTTCGTTTCCAATTCCAATGCAATGGTTGTCTTTAGTTTCTACTATTGTTGTTTACAACAAAACCACAAAACTTGTTACGTTTCAATTGATTTTCAATAAGAAAAAGGAACTTACCAAGAATCAATTTGCCTGATTTCTGAAGTTAGCTTCTACAGGTATGTTTTATGATGTTACCACTAAACAAGTAATTCATATTGGTCATCAACTCACTTTATTAGTTATCAGTCACTTCAAGAAGTCAAGTTTGCCATGTATTTGGAGTTTTTCTTTAACATTATTCTAAGGTGCTTAACAGGACGAAGATTAATTTTGAATAAGCCAAAGTTTGAAGTTTACTCTATTATTGATGGGGTGTAATATGGATTAGATGTTGATTATGCATCTCCGTTGTGGGAAGAATTTGGGTATTCGATCTCTCATTCCAGACTAGCAAGTGGAGTTTCGAGTGTTAGGTTTTAGGGATTGATTTTGCAGGAATTGTATACTAAGGAAAATATTCTTTTTCATACTGATGTTGATATTGTTGAGTTTCCCTCAATGAAGGTTTCTAAAGTCATGGTGGATGATGCTATGATATTACCAATGGTTGCTCGGATTTCTGATTTGATGCTCATGTTAGTCAATCCTACGCATCAATTGCTGTTTCAATATCAAGCTTAATGGATTCCACTCAAACTAGTATTCTTCTACCAACGGCTACATCAAAAGTTGTTGAAGGTTCATTGAAAGCATATAAGGTTCAAAAGTAAAAGAAACAAGAAGAGATGTCAAAAGAGGTAGAAGAGGAAGTGGTTGAAAAAACTGTAACCACAAAGACAGGAAAAGGGGTACTTGAAAGAACAAATAAACCTGCTAAGAAACCATCATATTTTAAAACCACGAAACCTACAAAAGAGCCTCTAGTCGAAATTGGTGAGCCAATAGCTTAGAAAGTTTCTACGGAGAATCCTACTCCTGTTGCAGAAACACTTATACGAGAAGGCGAACCTGTTGTGAAAAATGGTATTTTGAATAGGGTAAAGAAGCTACAGATTACACGAAGAGGATTTGTAATTAGAGAGCTTTCGTTTCCTAGTTCTCCTACATACAGAAAGAGGACTGCATTATATGTGTTGCAAAAATTAAAGAAGCGAAAGCCAACTCCTGCTAAGGATAAAATAGACAATGTTATTGTTGAATCAAATCATAAAAGTGATGGAACAAATATAGAAATAGGAGGTTCATTTCATGTGACCCACGAAAGGATACCTATGTCAAATCGACTATCGAGGAGTATTTCCTGATGTTAATGCAAACGTATCTAATATGGATGTAAACATCAATTCTGGTGCACAACTAAACACAAAAACCCCTGAGCAGATGAAAGTAATACCACCCAAGATTTCGAATACTAAGTCCATTATGGTGGAGGTCAAAAATCCAGACATCACTGTGAACTTATCTGATATGGACACGAATGTCAATACAGATGAAGGTATGCACACTGTCGAAACAACAACAACAACAACAACCACAATCGAAACAAAAATGGTTACAACAATAGTCGAAACAACCATTGTTTCACCACCATAACCAAATTCACCACCACCTACATCAATTACTCCACCTTCAACTACTATAACATTTTCTCCTACTTTTGTTGGGTTAATGCAAGAACCAATTGCTACTCTTTTCTCATCTCAATCAACTGAACCTGAGAATGGCATTCATGAACCTAAAGTAGATGATGATGGTGTTATGGTGTCGTTTATTGAGTTATAGTTCAACGCTAAAGAAGAATATATACCCAATGACTTAATCATGTCAGGTAAACAATTATAGATTCTTAACTCTCATATGAATTCTATTCTTCAATTTTCGGCTGATACTGGTGGCAAGAACTCAATTAGTGGTGTAGTAGTTGAATATATCTTAAAGTCCCAAGAATCTTGACTGAAAAACTTCATTGAAAATGTTAATAAGCTATATAAAGATAGGATGGCAACTCAACCTAGAAATGTTGATCATGAAATTTCTAAACATTACGATGTTGCAAAAGAGTGTCATGAAATCTTTGTGAAATAGGTGTCTAAAACAAAATATTCTCTTGAGATCCATGTTAACGAGCTTCAAGCCTTGATGGATAAAGATATTAAAAAGTTAGATGAAAGCTACAACTTGTTGCATAAAAAGGTTGATGTTGTAGAAAATGCAACAACTTGCCTGATAGAAGATATTACTGCCTTCAATAAAGACTATTCGACAGATCTCAAAGTTAAGATTGAGAAGGATGACAAAGTGTTTGAGAAAATGGAGGAGTTTATGTCTAATTTTAAAGAAACTTTATCGAAAGTTCATCTAAGGAAACTGGTGAAGATACAAGAGAAGTTGCGGGGAAAGTTACGTTTACACAAATTCCAACAATAATTCCCATGAAGCCAGGTATCACATCATCAACAACAACTGTAACGACCAAAAATACGACCCAAAAATTTTTGTTTACATAATACTAAGGTTATCAACGAGTTATCATATATCATGAAATCGTAAGTCATAAATCCCAAAAAGTTATAATAGATGTGTCATAACAAATGAACTGTAACAATATAACATAGTATCTGAAATAAACTCCCAGGATAAAAGCTAAAGCTGTAGTGTGTGCAATGCCATCATCTCGAGCTCTTCCCTTTGCTTGTGGAAGTACCTGAAACCAAAACTAAAACTATAGTCACAAAGCTTAGTGAGCTCTCCTAGACTACCCCATACCATACAATAACATATAAAAACATATTGGGCCTTGCCCACTGCATCGGACCGAAGTCCGAAAACTGCATCGGACCGAAGTCCGTACTAACCAGGACCTTGCCCTCTGCATCGGACCGAAGTCCGGAACTGACTGGGACCTTGCGCATTGCATTAGACCGAAGTCTGGAACTAATTGCATCGGACCGAAATCCAGAACTGACTGGGACCTTGTCCCCTGCATCAGACCGAAGTCCGAAAACTGACTGAGCATAACATAACACATCATAAACATATCAACTAGCATAAACACATATGCTGCATACTGCATCGGACCGAAGTCCGGAACAGATAACACAAGGACATGCTTAAATCACAAAGACATCAAGTACACTGAACTACTACATCGAATTAGGGTTAAGTGTTTCTCACTTAACCCATTAAGGGCTTAATCCATCAAGGACTTAATCCATTAAGTCCATCATTCTTCTAAATAAGTCATATGGTGTGATTGGGCTTAAACACACAATTCTATTCCAATGGCCCAAAAATGGGTCCCAATAAGTCCAAGCCTATAAATCCAATATTAGGGTTTTCCTTAGGCCAATTAGGGTTTATTACACCCATTAGTCACATGTTTAGGCTTTTGGGTCCATTAAGCATCATTGGGCCCATTAGGGTTCATTAAGCCCATTAAGCCCCATTGGGCCCAGTAGGGTTTCTTAGTCCCTTGTCCAATCATCCAAACGAGTCCAAACACCATCAAAGCGGCAGCCACCACCCTAAGGTGGTGGTTTTCAATTTCTTTTATTATTCCAAGCTGTAATTTACACTTTACATTGTTGAAGCTCAAAATAAACACCTACACTAAACAACATAAACACACACACAACCACCCTATGGTGGCCGGTGGTGGCAGGAAGTGGCAGCCATCACCCTAAGGTAGTGGTGATGTCCTTTTCGAGCAATCCAATCAATACCCACATGTATCATCACGCCTTCAGCTTGGTGAGGGTAGCCAACCATCCATTTGGTGGCATATGGCAGTGACATATGGTTTTATGTCGTCAGCCACCACCTCGTGGTGGTGGCGCAGTTCCTTTGGGTTCCCAGTCGAATAGCTCCCCACACCCGAATCTTGAAGCAGGATCACACCCACATGAACTCACAAAAAGTTGTAGCAACAATTCACGGTGGTGGCTCGATTGCTCTCGGTGGTTTTGGCTAGAGCGAGTCTTCGGCGAGACATCTACCAAGAGCAATGGTGGCACAACAGCGGAAAGAAACAGAGACAGAGGAGATTGGTGACCCAAATAGCAAACCGCAACAGCACAACCCTTGATCTCCCGACCAACCCGCATCGACTCGTGGCTCCTTTGTCTTCAACGACGGCGGTGGTGATCGAACTTGAACTCATAACGGCGGTAGCTTTGGTCTGCTAAGTAGCGAGTGGGCGAAGCCTCAACTGACAGCGACTGAAGAAGGAGAATGGGGGAAAAAGGACGGTCGTCTGGTGGTCGTTGGCTAATCGGGAACGTGGAGGTGGCGGTGGCTCCAGTGAGGGGGCATAAGAGGCGATGATGGTTGCTACATACGGGAGGGTTTAGGGTTTTGGTAGCGATGCTTTAAACGGGAAGGAAGGATTCATTGGGTTTAAATCCCGCTCCACACAAAACTTTGCTCATTAAACAAGTTTAGTCCCTCCCTATAGGATCCTTTTCCAATCAAATCCTATATTTACCCATTAAACCCCAACATTAAAAAAATCCATTACAACTTAGGTATGAAATGTACCCAACGGCCCCTATCCCCCATAATCTCTTCAATTAAAGTCCCATAAATTCTCAATAATTACCAAGGAGCCCCTGTCTTCATAAATATTTACAAATTAAGTGTGGGTTTACACTTTTAACCCCCAATCTCTAAATGTGTGACAAATAGCTCCTCGAGATCAACACCTTGCTAAATAATTATCGATTTTAAGGCTACTATCGGATCATTTATTTATTTATTTAACTAATAAATAAGCGGGTGTTACAACCCTCCCCCACTTAAATTAGATTTCATCCTCGAAATCATTTCTTACCATTCCTTACTCGCCCAACCACTCTAGTAGCAGGGTCACCAACCAGGGCACACCCTAGCCCTCCTAGGGTAGCCATGACCAATCCTCGTAAAGCCCTAAAATCCGCAGGTGAACGAATTCCTCGCAACAAGATCTCGTCTACTCCGTCTGAATTATGCTGTCTCGAGATGATCTGTATCCCTAACTAACCACTCATACTGAATCATTATCGTTGAATCCAGTCTGTTTATCCCTCAACTGTTCACTCAACTTCTGATAGTTCGAGGTTCCCACTATAACATAGGGTCACAGACCCGCTTATCCTTGCGGACCACTAATCCTTTTCCAAGGCTCATATACTCTCGCTGGGAGTGACCTGTCACTCCCCAAATCATCTAACTAGTCTATCCATTCTCACAACCTGAAACACAAATGCTAACACTACCCAATGCTGAAATTGCTTGAACACTGAACTGCCTGAGGCAGTATACGCTGCTTACCAAAAGCTACCGAGACCTCTTGGGTCTCAATTCACTTGCCAATCCTCTGAAATACTGGGTTTCCACCTGGCTGAGGAGCCAGAGGACTCCCTACTTAGTCGCCTCACACGACTTCTGAATGAAATCCTTCTCTGGAACTAGTTGCCCCTAGTTATCATGCTAGTGTGACTCTACTACTTTCTGATCTAACCGATCGGGTCCATGCGTCGAATCCTGTCATCATCAAATCCAAGACTAAAAGTGATTGCTACCTGACTAATGGTAGCCTTATATCACACGTCCTGAGCAGTCCATTACTTCTCTGATCTCATAACTGTAGTGATGTCCCTACAATCTCATTACTGGCTTAACCAGATCTAAACCATTTGGGTAAATTCGAAATCCAATCAGTGAATTTTCATGTCCTCACTACTACACCCGAACTGGTAGGTACTACTGTTCCTTTCGCGTTCTAACAACATGCTAATGCCATCTACCAACCTAGTGAATGATGCGGCTACACCTACAGACTTACAACACTCTATCGCTATCTGGATGCTAGTGAATGCTATGTCTACACCCGCAGACTTACAACACTTTTCATACTACCTGATTACTAGTGAATGCTACGGCTACCCCCGTAGTCTTACAACACTTTCCATACTATCTGAATACTAGTGAATGCTCCGGCTACCCCCGTAGTCTTACAACACTTTCCAAACTATTTGACTGCTAGTGAATGCTATGGCTACCCCCGTAGTCTTACAATACTTTCTATACTGGGACGAACACACACTCGACCTAACACACAACTGAACTTGAGTACTAACTGGAACTCTAACCTGGTTCCCGAAACCTACTATCATGTGACCCCACTGTATCAGTACTGTACCCATGCCCATGATCAAAGCGTCACAGTAAACCACGAAATCATCTACACCATATGGCAGGGTGAGAATCGGTGCCTAGCACGACCGTTGTCTAAGTGTCTCGAGGTTGCCTGCTGCTCAGGCCCTCAACGAAAGGCCACCGACTTCTTGGTCAGTCGGGTCAAAGGAACCGCAATCTCGGAGAAGTCCCATGTAAATCTCCAGTAGTAACCTGCTAGACCCAAGAAACTCCGAATCTCTGATGGAGACCTCGGAATCTCCCACTGCATCACGACCTCTATCTTGGCTAAATCAACTAGAATACCCTTCTGGTTGACAAGGTGCCCAAGAGATTGCACCCCGCGTAACCAGAACTCACATTTTGAGAATTTTATAAAAAGTCTCTCCCCCACTTAGATTCGACTAAGTCTTCATGACACGCAAGAATTGAAGGATTTCCAATCCTTCTCGCTTTCCAATATCCCGCTGATGACAACCTGTGCCTGCCAATGCTAGCGTTTAATCACCGATTAAACCTTGAGATCTCACATCCTCGGAAATCTCGATGAGTACTCTTAACATTTGATCCAGTCTGACACCTCGATCCATCTAACATGTTGTCAATTGAAGGTCTCAATCTTCACTTTGGCTGATGAATCCTCGTTCTCATTTCCAATCTTGCAGTACCACTGAACTATAACCGAACACAACCCATGTGAAAGTACAATTCTCCTGAACATGCGATGACCAAGCACTTATGCATCTAACACCCGCGACTGACACTACCCTTTTCATGTCACCAGCTCTGTCCTAGCAACGGTAGTGCCTTGAACTCCAAAGTTCATCCATAGACAATTACCGACCATACCCGAACAATGATAGAACCCCTGTACGCTGACTTCACTGTAGAACTATAACTTTAACCCTAACCGAGGATCTTCCCAAACAATAATCCTGCACATATCTCAACAAAGATTTGGAATGATAACGGTACACGCGGAACCCGCTCTGTAAGATGCATCCCTTTGTGGGTTCATCAATGACTTTTCGGCTTTCAGGATGGCATATATGATCCTTGATAACCCAAACACTAGCAGTAAACCAACCCGATATCCAACTTATCCGAACTTACTCATAACACCAACGCGATACGTATCCCCAACATCCATCTAATAGCAACAGAAGATGACATACCCGCAACATATGGATGGATACTAATCACCTTCTGCTGACATGAACAACCTCGCTACCCTGTAGTAGCCTAAACCCTCAGAGCGACAAACTCCCTTGTACATTGTCATGTACGTGCTGCACTGACTCTAGCCCTGCTGGCCCTTCACCTGATGATCAGAAATCATGGGTCTCTTCTCGAGACCCCTACTATACGCACCTGGCACGAACCCCTCTTCTCAGAGTGCTCCAAATCGATCACGCATCTGCAACTTCATGGAAATCATATCCCTCAGGGTCTGACACCCTACCACGCTCACTAACTCACTTGCCAATGGCTATGCTGGAACATCCTCTGTCCCCAAACTGGGTCACAAACTCTTCCCTGAATGTTCTCAGATTCTCCAAGACTCTCACCGATTCGAGTATGAATCATGTGCTTTCTGTAGTACGGGCCCAATACTACCTTGCACACCTATCCATACTTTCCTCAGGAATCCTCCCGGATCCTCCAAATCACTTCCTCAACGCTTCGACGCCTTCGAATTCATAAATTTGTCATTTTTCAGGGGTTGATAAAATTTCGTGTTTTTGCAACAAGTACATTTTGTTTGTCATTTTATTTTCTAAAACACAAAAACAACAAAAAGATTTTCGTTTCTTTTGTCATTTTATTTTCGAAAAACACAAAAAAAAAAAAAAATTGTTTGTTTTGTCTTTTAGTTTCGAAAAACATAAAAATCCAAAAAGATTTTTCGTTTGTTTTGTCATTCAATTTTCAAAAAATCAAAAACAACAAAAATATTTTGTTTTTCATTTCTTTTTAGTATTTTGTTGCAGATATTCATGATGATTCAAGTTAGGAAATGCATGTAGTTCTAGGGTCAGGTAAATTTTCGAATACTTTGAACTAGTTAAGTTGTCCCTAGAAGCATGCTGCAACATGTTGACCAAAGCCTCCATCGACTCAATATATGTGTACGAAAGCCTTAATGAAATCTTTCATACGAAAATTTCTTCCTAATCAAGCTTGTATTCGTATTAGTCTCCTGAGCTACCTGACTCTTCTCACATGACTTAAGAGTTTACTGTTTTGTCCAAATATATCAGAGGTACATTTCGTGTCTTACACCAATCTTTTTCATCTGAAAGTTCTTACACGATCACACACGAAGACATATGTCCAAGAGCTCTCTGATCAAACCAATCGAGACTTATACATATTAAAATTTTGTATTTATGATCTGACATCATGAGACCGTGATGAAAGTGAAAACCAATTTTCTAAATTTTTAAGGAATTGACGGGGAACTATGTTCCAGATTTTCACAAAACATTTGTTTCGGTACTTAAATTAGAAACTTCAAATCATATTCATTTCGTACGAATGGTCTTGATCAAACATTTGAAACCCACGATGTTTGTTACACAACAAGATCCAACACAATTTTTTTTATGAATATGATTTCCGTTTGAGTTTCATTCGAAATCCAAAGTCACATAAAATTTTTTGGTCAAAGCAAACTTGTCACTGACTACACTGGTCACACAAGTAATTTATGTTACAATTTCTCACCTTATGTTTAGGTTGATATGTAACGAAATTCTTATAGCTACCCATGCAACCTAATAAAAGAAACTCTTCGATACTTATCTACAAGTATTCGATTGTATATCACGGGAACATACACAAGCAGTTGATCGACATCACTGACTTCCAAAATTTTCTTATTTTTGCCTCTCATCTAATTTTTTTGGAACACTACACTCACGAAATACTTGAGGTTCTGAGTAACACCAACTCAGACTGATGATTTCAAACATCTGGCAAATGACATTACTTTAAAACCCAAAAGTAAAAGAGCCTTACTTCCATTCGAAGGGTTCTGACAATTACAATTCTATTGGGGCAAACAAAACAACCTATTTTACGCTGACGTATGGTATTCGGTCCGGATTCCAAGGAGACGTGCCAATTACTTTTTCACGCGTGGCTACTTTTATGGGGTAGTTGTCCGACTTTCAAGGTGTCACGTTGGATATCATTAAATGCACATCTCGCTTCAAATTCAAACTTTTGGGTTATATATAAAAAGGGATTCAAGGGTTTGTTATTCGTTTACGCTTTCAGATTTAAAATTCCCAAAATTCTCTCTGAAAAATTCAACGGTTCTTCACAAGATTTTCCAACTCTAATCATGGCTACTCAAACTGATGTTCCATCCCAAACAACTGAAGATGTTATTTCACAACCAATCATGAAGATTCAAGGAGCTAACTACCAAGTAGAGGCTAATGTTTCTACTTATCCGGAAGAACTCAAGATGTTGATTGTCTCTTTACAAAGTTCTATTCTATCCAAAGCTACGTTCCAATCTTTTTTTGTTCCTCTTCCCAGGTTATCTCAAGCAGGATCAACTACTATATACAACAAAGCTTTGGATGTCATCACATTCAACCTGGTGAACCATAAGAAGGTTAGACTATCCAATAAGCTATTTTGTCAAATACTGGAAATCCCAAATTCTCCACCCTACACTGATCTTCAATTTCCCCAAATCGTACACATGCTCAACGAGATGAGTCATCAACCGCAACTTACCAAGATCAGTGATTTCAAGAAATTTGGTCTTCCAAGCATTTAGAACTTTCCCTTCGGAATTTTTCTAATATGTTTGACTGGTCGAACTGTTGGACTCGACAAAGGAAGGATGGAAGTATATGCCATGGTTGCTGGGCTATACTATGATATTCCGGTGAAGTATTCTACACAGCTTTGGAAGGAGTTCCAAAAGAGTGTTGGAAACACGAATGCAATTCAAGGCATTTCGTGTGTAAGATATTGGAGTTTGATTTTGCAACACTTTTATGAGAAGGAAGGTATTTTGGTGAATGCTGAGGAGGAGAAGGCTGAATTATGTACATATCATTATCCGAAGAATATGACTGATGATGCAGACGAGTTTCCATTTGTTGTTCATATTCCAGATGCTATGTTGAGGCGTGTTGATCCTACGAATGTTGTTTTGGTAGCATATTTAAAAAACATTGATCCTACTGTTCAAACGGGGATATTGTTGCCAAGGGAAGATAAGAAGTCTAAATGTTCGAATAAGAATGAACCGGGTTCTTCTGAAAAGCTTGTTTCTGAAACCACGTCAAAGAAGTCTCTAAAGAAGAAGCCTACTGAAGTTAAAGTGGTAAATGAAGTATCTGTTGATGTGACTATTCCGCTTGAACCTACTATTGAAGATACTCAAGAAAAAGTGGTTATTCCTTCGAAGACTAGTGTTTTTCGAAAAATAAAAATGAAGTCTAAGCATACACACAAGTCTCCAACTCTTAATGTGGTACGAAAGCCTCATCTTACTCATCAGTGTGTAGTTTTTTGTGAAATACCGGCTCCTGTTTCTCCATCATCTAAGAAACAAATGGCTGAAGATATGGCTAAACAGTTTTCTCAAAGGGAGAAGAAGAATACACAAAAGCTTATTATAACAACCGAATCCACAGAAGATGAAGGTGAACGAATTCTTGAAACACCTGAAGCAAATCTTCACAAGGAAAGTTCAACTCCTGAGCAGACAATGGTCATACCACCCGAAGATTCATCTGCCAAGTCATCTCATGAGGAAGCACGAACTTCAGACATCAATGAAAATTTATCTCATACAGATGTAAATGTCAACATGGGTGAAGGAGATGTGAAGACAGAAGCTCAAGGTAATCCTGATACGATTGTTTCATTACCTCCACAAATCAGACCGATTACTTCAACCACAGACTCACCCACATTCAAAAATATTATCAATCAAACCTTTACTTCCATTTTTTATTCTCAATCCACTGATCCACCAAAAACCAATTCCCCTTCTAAAGACTCAATTTTTATGGAAATGGATACTGACAATGAGGGTTTTGGAGGAACCTTTGAGGAATTGGAGTTTGACGATGCAGAACAAGATTTTCCAGATCATATGCTGATGACGATGAAACAGTTTAAGATATTGAATACAAAGTTGAATTCCATACTTTAATCTCAAGTTGATCTGGGGGCAGTTCGTCGGTTTCAAGTATGGAAGTGGATACGATGTTGAAAATGTCTGAAGCAAAGGTAGTGAGTAAAATCTCTGGGATGGTTAGAGTCTCGAAATCAAGAATTTAGGAGAAAGTTGATCATAACGATCAAAAAAATGAGCTAAGGGTGAATTCTCAAAATTCGACATTTTTGGAAGAAGTTAAAGATTTGAAGAAACTGGCGAAGGACCGACACATTTTTTTCGTTCAAGATGCGAAGAAAGTTCGTGAAGATGTAAATTTGCAGATTCGCGAGCTTCGTGAAGATAAGCAAAGAGAGATTGTAAGTGTCCAACAGGATTATGCACCTTTGAATCAGAAGATTGACATTATTTGTGATGCCGTCATAAGATTTTTCAAGTTGTACGAAAGCATGAGTCCTCAACTTACTCAAATTTCTACAACGAAAAGTAAAAATTTTCCGGAAGTGATTAATTTGTTGAAGGAGCTCAAAGAATTATATGTCAAGCCGGTTTCGTCTTCTCTAATAACTCCTGAATTTTTGTCACAAAAATTCACAAAATTTGAAGCTATTCTACACAAGCAACTGGCCCCTCTTTCTAGAATTTCGAGCCTTCTACCAACAACAGAGGCCCCACCTGTTTCTACAGGGGTGCAAGGGGGAGAAAGAAAGGTTACAGATGTGAAGGCTGCGGGTGAAGCTTCGCATGAAGATGCAAAAGTTGTGGGAAAGGTGTTTTCTACGAAGATCCCAACAACAAAGTCGATAATATCATCTACTGGGCCAGTTACTTCAACAATGGTCACTACAATGCCAATTTCAAGGCCTATTACAAAAGGAGTTGTTATTGGTGAAGCTGCTAGTGGGAGCAATAAGAAGCCAAATGTAATAGATGATGGTTTGAAAGATAAAGGAAAAACCGTTGTTGTGTAAAAGACAAAGGAGGAAAAGAAAGTTGAAGTTGAAGCAGAACTTGAAAAGCTGAGGTTGGTCCAAAGCATTATGACGCAGCGTGCAAGTGATCCTCTAGGTTTGGATAAAGATGATCCATCCAAACATTACACTTATGAAACAATTGAAGCAAATGTTGCATACAATCATATGTATTCGTTCGAAAAGAAACCGAAGCAGAGCTATATTGTAACGAATAGTGATGCAGGCCAGCTAGACTTTCCAGTGAATGAGATGATGTTTATCATGCCTCAATTCAAAGAATAAGGAAATTTCAAAGTAAAAGATGAAGGTAGTCACATGAAAATTCGAGTTCATGTTGTTCTTGCCAAATCTGTTGAGGAAGTCTAGTCATTGGTGAAGATTAAGAAGGTCATCAGTATAAAGAAGGATGTAGTATTTGAAAACACAGTCCAAAATATCAAATACGTTGTGGCCAAGGCAAATGGAAATAATTGTGATTTCACATTTGCAGATTTTCCATTAATGAACTTGTATGATCTTATACAAGTTGCATTGATTTTGAAAGATAAATCTATTTCGTATCTTCAAAATACTGAACCTGGTGAATTCAAGCTTGGGGTTGCTCACATCAAGATTTTCATTGAGAATTATTACGAGTGCTTGGCACTAACTGATGTTGAGTTAGCAACATCTAAAGGTTTGGAAATCAAAGCTCTGATGGCACCTACGAAGACCCAAACTGATTTGAAGAAGTATGTAGATGGAGAGATCTGCTTAAAACCTTTTGGGTTGGTCTTCGCAGGAAAAGACAAAGCTGGAAAAGAAAAACGTTTCTTGTTTCAGTCAAGTAAAGTGGAGAGGTATTCGACGTCTCAATATACGAACTTAATTGTTCGTATGAATCATTTCAAGAAGAAGAATGAAGGAGATAAGAAGGAGCTTAAGAAGATCATTTCTTGGTATACGAAAATACGAAGGGTGATGTTGTATTCCATTCAACTTCTTACAAATTAAGGAGTTCGACTATTATTACAAAGGGGGAGATTGTAAGAGTCAAAGTCTGTTGTAATTAGTCGAAGTCTGTCAAATACCATTCGTATGTTTTGTAATATATTTACTAAGGTGCTTTTATACGAAGCTTAGTGTCAGTGCCTTAGTATTTTATGCACGCTTTCTGTTTCCTATAAATAGGGACATTTACTAGAGTTAGACAAGAGTTGTTTCATAGAAACTTGTCTTTGTATTCTGTAAACATTCGAAAGTGTAATAGAGCTGAAAACAAGATCATATTTACATCCATTGTTCAATCTCGCATTCATACATACTATGATTTGTTAATTACTCGATTCATTGATTCATCACTTCATATTCATAATTTTCAGGTATTTGAGTTTTTTTTTGTTATATCAATAGGCTCTTCCAAAGTTTCACTAATCTTTTTAAGAGATTTTGTTTTCTCTTTTGGACTATCAAGTATGTTTGCACCCTTTCATTTTTTAGACTTTTATCTTTGGAACTGACTAGTCTTCCACGCTTCAAGCATGCCTTAGATTCATTTGTAGTTATATTTTGTCCTTCTAGGACATCGATTCTAATTGGAGCATTTAAAACTAGTACATGAGACTTGGTTACTCTCTTTTGGCTGGTAAATGCATCTGGCAATTGGTTTGCAATATTTTCTAAATGAATTGTCTTTTTCATTTTAAGCTCGCATTGACTTGAACGAGGATCCAAGGCTAAAAGTGGTAATTCATTCCAAGAGATTTTACTATATATGGAGATTCATACCCAACATAAAATCACATTCTTCTTTGATGACCCATTTTTTTGGGGTGAGGTGGAGAATTAGGTACCTAAATTGCACATCCAAACATCCTTAGATGGAAAATATTTTGTTCCTGAGCGCAAACCAGTTAAATAGTGGGGAACTTATGATAACAAATTGGCATGATGCGTATAAGTGATGTTGCATGTGAAATTGCATGTACCGATGTCGATGTAGGAAGTTTAGAATGTATTAGTAATGTTCGTGCAATTAATTGAAAGTGTTTCATTAACGACTCAACTATACCATTTTGTGTATTAACTTGTACAACATAATGTTCAATAGTTATCACAATCAATATAGAATAGTCACTAGTTGTAAGACTCATGTATTACATGAGTTAATTTAAAAAAAATGTAAAGGTCTAAATATTTGAGAACATTGATTTTATAAGAAAATAAGAAAAATAATGAATTATTATAATGATAATACTTTTTATCTTATAAATTTAAACAAATAATTTAAATAAATAAACAAAAGAAACTAATATGCTATAATTTTGAGAATGTTGAAATTAAAAGCCTAGTTAATTAATGAAACTGATATCCATTTATGACTATATTTATTGCAATTATTACATTAAAATATTATGTGGAATTTTAAAAAATAGAAAAACTCATGAAATGAAATGTGGAAAAAAAATTAACTCAAAATAACTTTTGGCAAATTGAATGAGCGTGTGCCAAGTGATAAAAAACCTTCATTTATTAGAGTAGATTAAAACATGTGATGTAAATTCTCTAGCATTGTCAAGTCTGATTTTCTTGATTGGGTAATCGAGAAACGTACCCTTAGGCAGCTTATTTGTATAAGTAATCTTGCAAAATCAATATCACAACTAGACAACAAGCACACATGTGACAATCAAGTAAACGTGTCTATTAAAACCATAAAACATATAATTGGTCCACATGGTAGATAAATTGGTCCACATATATCCCCTTGAACTCTTTATAAGAAACTAGGATTTTCATACCCAACTTTGTAACTCCTAAATTTTGCTTGATGTATCAATCAGATCCACTTGATGGTGCGGAATCCCAATCAAGTGGATGAAACAAGATCAAATATGGAAGAAGAGAAGAAGATGATGATGAATCTATGTCACACCCCAAAACCACGAACGGCGGAAACGTTCAGGGGTGGAGGACGTCATGTACAGTATCACAACAGTGTAATATAATAAACAAGCAACAACATCATCCATTGCATTATAAGTAAAGTTTTAATACATGTGTGTTTCTTTCATTGTAGTAAGACACCAAAAATATACAATCAAAATAAAAGACGAGACTTGTCTGCTCCGTCTTCTCAAAAACCTGGCCTCCGTACCTGTCTACTGATGACCTGAGAATACAAGTTATTTTGAAAGCGAGTATCAGCTTTAAAGCTGGTAAATTCATAAGTATATAAGTGTCATTGCCTTGTTTGTGAAAATCTGTTATAAAGGCCATGTAAATTGGTAAATGAAAATGTTGATGTGCGTATGAAAAACCCTAGAAAATCCCTTATTTTCTATCAGTTTGAGATGTAGTCTTCTACCAAGACCCGAATGTTTTGTAAGTAAAATGATAGTTTTCCTTTAATTGTTTAGTACTAAAGTACTTAGTCTAACTCATCGTTTATGTGAAAGAATCACAAAATAAAGTAAACAGGAAAATGTACTACTGTAAGTGTTGTCACTAGGTACTAGGACTAACACATCGTATGTAATGTTATCCCAAGGTACTAGGGTTAACACGACCTATATAACCTAATGAACATCCGAAGATTTGTCCACTCACCCTCTGTAGCGGCAACAGGGTGGAAGGGGGGTTAATCCCATAACAGCGTTAACCTAACGATCATCCGAAGATTTTCATCTCATCCCCTGTTGCAACAGGAGATGGAGGAATGGTTAGTTCCGTAACTGAATCCTAATATCAGAAACAACCTTAGACATCCGTAGATGTTCATCACCCAGTGTTGCTAACAGCTGGGTTCCGGAATGGTTAGTCTCGTATAGACATCCCATTGAATTGGGATAGGCAGGAAGATTTACACAGAAGGTACGAATAAATATTCCTAATAACTCTAGGTACAAGTATCCGCGTAAGTGAGTACAGGATAATGTATCTAAGTAACAGTTTTCATGTATGGTATTCATGTATCATGTAAGTATATGTAAACGTACTCATGTATCATGTAATCAAATGTAAAGGTACTCATGTATCAGGTAATGTACTGGTATAGACTCATGAATGAACTGACTCTTGTGT